GGAGGAGGAGAGGAGGGGGTCGAAGGTGGAGGCCACGGAGGCGTAGTCGGAGGCGGCGGCGAGGGGCAGCGTCTCCATGTCGCCGTCGGCGGCGCCGGCGGGCGGCGACGAAGACATCATGGCAAGAAGGGTTCCGGCGAGGCGAGCGTGCGGGTGCCGGAGAGTGGAGGGTGTGGGGATGGGTACGGCGAAGACGAAGACCAAGATGAAGGTTCCGGCGGTTTGTTGCGGTGGGGTTACCGCGTGGTTGGGTTGGGATACGGGAACGGGACACGCTCACGTGGCCCGTGGTGCCGGGTGCCAACTACGAGCTGGGGTTTGCCGTGCACGCAAGCAAAAGCAAAACAGAATCCCATTGAATTTTAAAATAGTGTACCGTACATAAAATTTCACTTGGTATATTAAGCTCATTTATCATAGTACATGTTCAATGGAGGGATGATATCTGCCCGGTTATTTCTACCGGACCGGTCACAGTATATAGAGGTGTTAATTTAAACAGTTGGAAGATAGCTAGGGATGCATCGAGTTCGTTTCACTTCCCGACTTACCATTGTGGTATGCATGTACCCGACACCTTGAATAGAGGATTTGTGGAATCTGGTTTTTTTCTAGATTCTTCGCTACCTCTCTCCATCGGTATCTAAACGCAATATTGAATAACTAGTGGTTACCGAAATTGAAACATTTGTTATGTCCTTGCCATCATTTTATCATGTCTTGTTTATTTTATGGCGGCTGCTAGGCGTAAGCCGGCTGATCTTAGCGCAGCCGTCTGATTTAGACGTAGGTGGCCGTTAGATCGTAGGCTCCCAACAACGCGTCTTCCTCTTCTTCCTTCGTATTCTTCTCTCGCAGTGCTCGGTTGTTGAAAGCAGCAGCCCCCTCCTCAGCAGGCAATGAAGCGCTGCCGTTTGCCGGAGTCTCGTCTGGTCACAGCAACCCCGCCATCGGCCACAGACGCAACACTGGCCGGCTGGCCGCCGATGCTCCAACGCAGCACCGGAGCCTCGACAAATACTTCATCGCAGCACCGGCGAACCCGAGGATGCTTCGTCGCAGCTCCGGTGCCTCGGCAATGTTTCATCGCAGCACCGGCGCCTCGACAATGCTTCATCGCAGCACCGGCGAATCCGACGATGCTTCGTCGCAGCTCCGGCGCCTCGG